ATATATATATATATATATATATATATATATATATATATATATATATACATATAAATTAATAAGACTTTCTTCTCTCATTCTGGTGTGAAATAATTATATTTCAGATTCATTCTCAACTTTAAAACAATTGAAAATCTTTATTCGTGCCTCGCACCGTTTGAGCCAAAAGAAGAAATGATTAAATATGACGTGATTGAATCAGATTGCATTAGAAGCTGCCGTGTGTCTGCACACTCGCTCCCTGGTCTCTGACGGGCTGCAGAGCTTCACCCAAAGTGACTGAAGGAATCCAGATCCGTGTCTCATTCAGTCCGGTCATTGCAGCTTTCTGTTTTGGCACTCGATATGTAAATCAAACAACATTGCCTCACATATCGAGACCTGTTCTGCAATGTTGCGATTTGGGACGTTCTGAGCAGTGTGTGAGTGACTGCATCACTCAGGCCGCCATGTTGTCTCCTCCTGTCCTCCATTTTGTGATTCTGCCTCTCGGTTCTTGCTCACCTGCTTTTATCGAAAGTTTAACCAAACTCTGTTTTTAATCAAAGTGAAAAAAAATACATCTATTGCTTTCACATGATTTTCAGATGTACATGTATGTTTTCAAAAGGCCCGTCGGGCTTTTGTTGTGTTGATAGATAACCTGATGGCTGATCACTTTTTACCTTAAAGTGTCTTCACTCAAATACACGTGTCCAACGAGACGGAACACTTTGTCCATGTAATCAGCAGCTCCCACGTTAAGTGTTGCACACGACTTGAGGTTCTACAGCTCTGCAGCGTGGGTGACTGTGACCCGCGGCCCCATAATGTCCGCCGGGGGGTCACGGAGGTTAATAGAGACTGATGTATGAGGGCCCCAGAGTGACATCCCAAAGGGGATGGCCCCTTAATCCTTATTATGCCTCCGTGTTAGTGATCCTTACCTTTCAAAGCAAACAGCACGCTCCCTTTGCAGCGGGGCCCCCAGCCTGCCCCCAGCGTTACACTTCTGACCCCGGGGTCGTGGCCTTTGTTCAGAACCCTTCAGAGTCTGACCTCAGAGGTCACGAGTGTAATAGAGAAGTTGTCAAGGCACGTGCTGCCGAGGGGCCCCTCAGCGGACCACCTCGTAGAGGGAGCGGGCGCGCCGCACCGGTCACCGAAGAGAGGAGGAAGTGTGTGTGTGTGTGTGTGTGTGTGTGTGTGTGTGTGTGTGTGTGTGTTCGCTGGAGTGTGAACGCATAGGTGGCAGTAACTTATGAAGTGAAAATATTACTGGGGTTATATGTCTATAGAAGTTAAGCTTGTAAAAAACAAACAGAAAACCCGGCCTGAATTTTGGCATTTTAACTGCAATAAGTCATGTATTCACAGAAGTAGCTCCTGCAGAGGAGGTCACCTCTCTCTTTACTGGCATTCTCAGGTGGTTCTACTTATTTAACTGCATTTTATTAACTGCTGACTAAAAACCACAAGAAACACATTGAAGAAAGAGCATCTTTGGTGCAGAAATGGATTATAAATTTGTATTTTTTTTTTTGTTGTCTAATGATTAAAGAGAGAGCTGTTTGTTTGCTTATCTGTTCAACTTCCCATGAAATGAATGAATAATTTGTTATTTAATTACAGTTCATGTTATTTATACTGTATTTCTTTTTTTTTTTTTTTGCCCTATGAGTATTTAAAATATTGTAGTTCATATTATTCTCAGTGTACTGCTTGTGCGTGTGTGTGTGTGTGTGTGTGTGTGTGTGTGTGTGTGTGTGTGTGTGTTTGTGTTTTTTTTGTGTGTGCTTGTGCGAACATCTCCATTGTTTCAGCTCATGAAACTCACTTTCACTCTGACACATTCAGGGCCTTGTTGCCACCGTGCAACATGAGTTCACTGCGGTCGGTTTATTTAATACTGTTTTGTTTTTAATTCCCCTCCCCTTGCATCTTTTAAATATCATGTGGCAGAACCAAATCACTTAACTGCAGCCTCTCTTCTTTCTTGAGAAAACATTGAAGTTTTAAATATTCAGAGATTCAAAATATTACTTGCATGCGATATGCTTTTACACAGGGACCTGATGAAGAAATTGCGGTGGTGGACTCTTGGAGGTGTAATAAATGAGCTTGTTAATACTGGAGTTTCATCAATGGCAGCATTGCGCAGGCCGCTCCTGCAGGGGCGAGGCCGCGCTGAGGGCTTCAGTGTCAGAAGTTGGCAGCGGAGCCAAAACCAGAGTCGTATCCTCAAGTGAACTCTCCACGACGTACGGTGCTACAGGCTCTGCCAAGTTTTTTGAATTCCTGCCACATGTTGGATGGTAAACAACTGACTAGAAACAGTGTCTTGGAGAGACGAGGGGGGCTGAGGAGGGACTCTTGAAATTGCTCAAAAAAAACATGCGTTTGTTGACGCTATTGTTTGATTTATATTCTGCGTGCAGTAGTTGTGGCGTTTTGTGCTTGCAGGGTTTGCAATTGGTCCAGAGACGTGGTGAGATGTGACGTCACGGGGTTCAATCCGATGACCGTTTGGCGCTCGATCCGTTGCTCTGATCAAGGAACACGAGGGAGTTTGGATCTCGATGAAGTGCAACGAATCCTTATGTCGCCTGTCTCACTTGTGCTCATTTTTCTAAATTGAAGTTTTCGCGTTTGCGCATTGTGTGTTTTTGATATGCGATGGTGCAGCGAGACACAGAACACAGGGAACCTGAGTTTTATTTGAGACTGTGGAAAGCTGAGGAGAGTTAAACAAGACAAGTGCACTCTCTCTCTCTCTCTCTCTCTCTCTCTCTATCGCTCTCTCTCTCTCTCTCTCTCTCTCTGGGTCCGTCCTCTGAGGTAGAAACACACAGCAGTGTAACGCCTTTTTCTTTCAGCTTCCAGGACTGAGAGTGAGGAGGTAGGAGAGACTGCTATTAACCAAGCGGCCATATTAGTTTGCTGTTTAATCGCTCCTACTCGCTCTGCTCTTCGTCGTCTTCTCCACAGTAAAAAAAAAACAAAAACACACACACACGAGAAAACGGTTGAGAAGGTTTTCCAACCGTATTTGTTCCAATGTGCAGCATTAGATAAAGACAGATTGAAATCAAGCCCAGCTAGCTGTGCTCCATGAGGTGAGATCCGTCGTCTTCTCTCGACAGTTTTTCCTTTTTCCCCTCTTGTTTGTGCGGCTGCTAGTTTCAGGAGAGAGGAGGGGAAAAAATGTGCCTGTGCTGAGTTCTGGGTTTCTTTTAGGAAAGAGAAGACTGAAGGGAAAGGCGTCCACAAGAGAGGAAGTTGTTTTTCTGCCATCGGGGAATCTGTTGCAAACAGCTAAGGGGCATTACAGCATTTTGTCCACGGGAGAAGTTTTTTTTTCGGGGAGGGGAGTCGGGTGGAAACCGGACGGGTGTGAATAACCTTCAGCAGGCTGATGTAGAGGTTGGTAGGTGTGCATGAGAGGAGGGGGGGGGGGGGGGGGAGACAGCAGGATCCTCCTCGTGCAGGCTTAGATTAACACTAGCTGCTCAGAGCAGGGCTGTTTTTGACTGTAGGCTATAACAGTGCTGCTGAACGGACAAGAAAGGGTGGGAGACAGAATAGGCTGGACACTGAAGGGGAGGCGGAGGGGGATGAGGGGGGGGGGTGCGGGACACGAGCAGAGTCCATTTTATCATTTGGTTACTGCCCGACATTTCTCCTCTCCCTATTCACACGCAGGACCGCCGCTGCTGCGGATCACAGCATGGCAAGGGTGGCCAAGCGATGGCACATGGCGGGTGCACTGCGGCAAATATTACGGGATCCTACAGCCTGGTTCACTGTTTCAACCATGGCAGGGCAGTCGCACCCAGGCTGCTCAATGTAGCCTCTCTCATTAACTCATTAACATGTCCGTGAGAGAGAAATCAAGACGATATTCCTCAGTGATCGTGCCAGACTTTCATTTCCGGCCTTTATTAAGGGAGCGCCATTGCTTCTGCTCTGCCCCCTGGAAGTCTTGTGTTAAAGGACATGTGGGTCAAAGACAAAGATATGAAACTCGGAGCAGCAACAGTTCTGAAAGGAAAAGATAAATCGTTAATCGTTTTTCATGATCATCAGAGTTAGGCGTTGCAGGTTGTCCCAGAATCGTTTAATCATTCGTGAGTGTAAGTGTGTGTGTGTGTGTGTGTGTGTGTGTGTGTGTGTAAGTGTGTGTGTGTGTGTTTGCTGTGACTCCAGCTCTCTCCCCACCCCGCCTCATGCACGCGCACGTTGCGCCAGGCCGGTGATGGAAATGCGTAGCGCCGCACGCACTCCCACACGTCCCTGTTTCATCATCAGCTGAGCCCTTTCTCCTCCACTCACAACTCTTCTCCCCTCCCTCTCTCGCCCCCTCCCCTCTCGGCTCTAGCTTCTTTTTCTATCCATCGCTCTCCTCCTCTCTCCGTGGGTCCCGACCACATGCAAGAGGGTAGACTAGGACGCTGCAGCTCTAAAAAAAAAGGGGGGGGGGGGGGGGGGGGGACGCTCTGCTGCTATTTCTACAGGCGGGCCCTCCCCTTCAGCTAGTCTGTGCCAAAAGAGGGAGGGATTTTTTACTACTCCCAGTCCCAGGATTTTAACCCCCTGCCTGCACTCGCTTCTCTCTGCAAGATCTGCTACTCAATATCGTGCAACAAGTGGCTTTGCTTTACTCCTACTTCGACATTGCTGCGCCATTTGCAAAGACCCTTTTTTTGGGACGCCCGTTTTCCTCACTCCGTGGGCGCTCATCACATGCGTTTGGTCAGTTTTTGCTGCCTCTGGGTTGTTGTAGAGTTAAACTGGACTGGGGACATTCAGGGGTTTGGGTTTGTGCTCTACGGAGGCTTTCTCGAGCACGTGCTCGGCGATTGCTCGCCATGCTTCCTTTTTCTCGTGAGTCCTCCCTAAAGCTGAGGACGAAGACAGCAGTTGGTTTTTTCCGCATGTTGTTCGGCCAGCTGCTCGATTCTGCATTACCTGTGCGTGCTTCTCGATTTCAGCAGATGATTTCTCATATATTTTCCTGTCCTCTTATCTCTTCTGCCCTCCGCATCTCTAAACCGCTCCCTCTTTTGGGTTTTCTGCCCCACCCTCTCTTTCTCATGCTCTCTCTCTCTCTCTCTCTCTCTCTCTCTCTCTCTCTCTCTCTCGCTCTCTCTCTCTCTCTCTCTCGTGGGCAGTCTCTAGTGAAAGGGGAGCAGGAGGGTGGAGCAGGGACGGGGCTTTTTCTGGGACAGGTGCCAATTTCAAACAAAAGACACAAAAAGCCAAAAAGAGTGAGATAGTTCCCAACGACAGGAAAAAAGTATTTATTTTAGAACGTATTTGAGGTAATAACGTGTGTCCATGTGTAACTATTCTTCTCTTGCAGGACTTTTCTTTTTTGTATTGCATGAGTGAGTAGCAGCAGAGATCTTGAATCCTCCCCTCCCTCCTCTCACCCCCCCTCTCTCTGCTCTCTTGCTCCCGTGAAGGCATTTCGAGCGGGGAAAAGAAGGAGGGGCGGGTGGAGTTTGGAAGGGGCAGTGGGAGGCGGAGCCCTGCCTCCCTGTCGAGTCTTCTGCATTATTCATATGTCCGGGCCAGTGCTGCAATCTGACTGGCTGCCTGGCTTAGCATTCACCCGACATTCAGTGGCTCTGTTTGCTAACATTCCTCATTCAAAGCCTTGTTAACTGCCAGACGGGAGGAACACGCGACTCCATGGGAAACCCACATGGCCTCCTTATTGTGGCGGCCCTGACAGTCTCAGACTAGGAGGTGGCAGACAGGGGAGAGCGAGGGGAGCCGGTTTGTAAATATTAGACAGCACTTAGCCGAGTTGAGGCGGGTTGCCCGAGGCTTAGACACAGGTTTTGGGCAAGGTGGCCAGATTGACAGGGTAGAACCCAGACAGATGGGCAGACAGACACGCAGACAAGGCGTTGAAGCAGACAGGGAGGCTGGCACTCTCTGGGACTCTGAATGGGTCTCTCGTTGACGTGCCCGCCTACTCCTTGCAGGGAGTGCAAAGCTGTGTGACTGAATCCGAGCTCCTTCTCTGCCCTTCTCCACAGAGAGGATATGTGGACGTACAGAGGGATCCAGCAATCCAACAATGGACGGCGGCGATTTCGGTGCTTTACCCCGGATAGCTGATCAGCAATGCATGTGTGCCCGTTGCCTACAAAGTCTCAGTGGTAAGTCAATGCGTGTGTGTGTGTGTGTGTGTGTGTGTGTGAGTGTGTGTGTGTGTGCGCGTGTGTGTAGCATGCACACATGCAGAGGTTTTCTATTGGCAAAGCGATGACACACAAAGACGAAATAAACGCCACAGTGCGACTTCGGTTGAACTGATCTCCCGAGTTTGTGTGTTTGAAGTCAGGGTGTTGTTTCCTTCAGGGCTACATGACTATCCAGAGAGACGAGGCTTAACTAAATATAGGGAAACCAGGGGGAAATGTGGCATGGGCTTTGAATTTCTAATCTCTCCTCTGGTGCGTTCCTACCTGCAGTTTTGCACTCCAGGTCAGCCTTTTGTGTGTGTGAAAGAGACGCTTTTGGAGGGAGCAGAGAGGGACCAGTGCTGCAACTTTGGGCCGAGGGCCAGACAAGGCCTGCTGCACAAGGCCGAGCCCCACCACATCGCTCCCTCTCTCTCTCTCTCTCTCTCTCTCTCTCTCTCTCTCTCTCTCTCTCAGTCTCACTCTGTGTCGCTCTCCCTTTTTCTCTCCTGGTCAGCTATCATAAAACTATTAACAGCAATTATCATATTGAGTTTTCTCATTAAAAGCTCATCTCAGTGAATATGGGCGAGCTTTCCGGTTTGTAATAGAAGGTTAAACATTTGAAAACGGGTCATTGCTGACACGTGGCCACACGTAGCTTTGATACAGCTCGAACAGGCCTTTTGGAGATACCTGTTATTAACGCTTCATAACAAATATAAAGCGTTAATTTACATTTTGTTATTTTTCCTTCAAGTTAACAAGAAATATGCTTCAAAACAGTAATAAGCCTTAGACATTTATGTGTAGTTCGATTATACGGTTTGAAGATGTATTAAATCCAAAGCCTTGTAACCTCCATATATACAGTATTTAGGTTTGTGTAATTGAACCGTAATAGAGCGGCATGCTTTATAAATAATTTATAGAAGTTGTATTGTCATTAATATTAGGATCACACCTGCTTCATCCCTCAGGAAGAATATCAGCTCTATCTTTCCTCATAATTAAAAACCTCAAGGTGCCACACCCATCACTGATACCTTCCAGTGAGGCAGATTTTAATTAATTGAGCGCTAATTCAAAATCCTTCATTCTTTTTTCTGTGCCGCCTGTCGATATGGCTCCATGTTGAACACCTCAGCACATCAGCGTCCACCATGACCATGATGATAGGTAGGAGCGGAGGCAGCGTGAGTCATCACAGATAGCTCTGGTCATCCCACCTACATCCTACGTACGACGGGCCTGTTCATCTGCCACTCTCGCGGCTCCGCAGTCACGTCGGCAGGAATCCCCGACTTCGCTCGCCCGCATTCGGTGCGTCCGAACCCATCTTCTGAGACCGTCGGCCCGGTGAACGTATGAGATGGTGTACGTCAGCGTTTGAAAAAGCAACACGTCATTGTCGAACACCAATGGGGCTCACAGGGTGCAAATGAAGGACGCGATTGCTTTTCGATTTTTCTCTGCTCTTCTTTTCTATCTCTTTGTTTCCGACTTTATTCCATCTGACTCTCTAACACACACAGTGGAGAAATAAAAGGTAATATTTGCGGCGAGGAAAACCAAACGCCCCACAAGGAAACGGGGAGGGACACGCTTTAATACACGTTTCATAACTTGGAATGTGTTGATTAACTTTTGGAAAAGTGTTTTCCCTCTGACATGAATATGTTTCAAAGTGTCCTGTGTCAGCTCTATTTATGTCATGAATAACAAGAAGGTCCTGCAGTTAATTTCCTCAAACTATTGGCCGACTATTTCACCCCGAGAAGACGAGAAATAACAAACGTGGTTTGACCTTGGAATTCATTAAAAATATATATATTTTCTGACAGTAAGTTGTGCTTCATGATAAACCACTGAGGAGCGCTGTATTGTTTTTTTAGAAGAAAAAAGTGATTTTGAAATTGTGATTTTGCCGATTCATTGAATTTGCGAGTCTGGTTTCTAAAGAATTTCACATGATTTGTTACAGAATGTTTGAAAACAGATAACTGAGGGGAATGTGAAATCTAACATAAGGACCATCACACCACATCTTGAACCAGACACACAGGACGCGCACACACACACAGGCAAACACCCAGACACATTTGATGCTATGTACCCCACAATGAACCCTGGCTGCTAAGATGAATGGGGTTCCCACGCCTCTCCCAAGGAGTGCAGGGCACAGCCTCCTCCTCTGAGCATTCTCACACACACTCACACAATGCACAAACTACAGATGGCTGCGCAGTCTTACCCAATCACACATAGGTGCATTAGAGTATAATAAACACACACAGACAAATATAGATTATTATTCAGAGCACTCACAGTCATGATGAGCACGTCAGTTTTAAAGATGGAGTGAGACACAGCTCTGTCTTTATTGATCGCGCATCAGCAATTTGGCATAAAAAGCAGCTTTTAATTTGTTAAGCAGAGAAAAGGAAGGTAAAAGAGTATTTGGTGTGTTTTACTTTGGTTACATTTCAGTCACACCTCCTTGTGTGTGTGTGTGTGTGTGTGTGTGTGTGTGTGTGTGTGTGTGTGTGTGTGTGTGTGTGTGTGTGAGAGAGAGAGAGGAGAGTGTGTCATACGGGTTTGTTCTGCAGGGAGAATTTAAATGAAGCAGACACAAAAGTTTGTGGGAAAATCTAACATTTCCATATCTAAGGGTTGAGCAACACAAAGTCATTGTGTGTGTTTTATATAT